TCTATAGTGCCATCCATGTCCGTGGTGCCATCTATAGCCTATATCCTATATAGTATGAATCTTATAGCACTAGCGTATCTGAAGTCCATATCTTCTTATAGTATAAATCGATATCGTACATCTAATCCAGCGTACATACAGTTTATATCTAAATCTAGTAACTGGATGAACTGTCGGAATGCAGATCATAGTGGATGTATTCTACAGTTTTATTCAAATACAACATGTCTTTCTTGAGATATGATCAAAAATGTAATCTTGGAAAATCATCGATTTTTATGCAAAATTTGCCTGTGATAGCAAGACAAGAATCAAGATAGCAATTTCTCTCGAGGTACAAATTTGGCGATACCTCATGATAAAACCATACTAGAGCTTTGAATTAGAGCTCGTTCGATAGGTTCTTGTCTGTTCTACACTATGATAAGTATTTCAAGTAAAACTTTGATAACAGAAACCTGGTAATCTGCCAAAACAATAAAAAAACCGCAATAACTATTCTATGAAAAACCAGCCTAATAAAGTTGGCCAAAATACTTAAAATTGGTATCATTAGATTCTCCTTTAAATTCTTCCCCAAGTTTTATTTAGCTGGAAAGCAATGTTGTTATCAGAATCGCATGATATTAAGGATGAACGATTTCAGAAATCCATGAATCCTCATTTTGAGTATTATGGAGGCTGGGCTATTGATAGTTTAAAATACCGCTTTTTTTTTTCTTAGTATGTAGCTCAATTCAAGCGTAAATTCGCTACCCTTGTCAAATATAACCCCTTAATTACATGTAACGGATTAATAGGTAAGGTGTTGGCGAACCTCATGGCGAAAATTGCTAATTCATATCTTGCTTTGCTGCCTTGTAGCAAGCTATCAAATTCTAATACTTACCTTGCGGTACATTGATAACAGTGACGTCTTTTAGCCTCAGCCTTTTATTAGCATTTTTTTCCTTTTTTTTTTTCGTCTTTATATATATATATATATATATATACTATACTTCACAAGCTCTCTACTCATGAAACAACGCTACCTTTGTGAATAGAATTGAAGCAAGTATAATTGACAGTTGTGCAATAGACGTAAGATACAATGTTAACGCGTTTTATACCGTGGTTTTACTTGGAATAACTCTACTAGGGATCTATTTCTGATCTTTTGCTGTGCACTGGCTGCACACTTGGCGGTGGCTGCTTTGATGTTATATCGTTGCTTCGGTGGTTCTTCTCTGGTGTTTGCTTATCCTGTGGTCTGTTGTCTTTGATGTATGCTAATTCTCTGGTCTGTCTCTGGTCGTGATGCTGTGGTAAGAAGTAGTAAGTATCCTTTTTTTTCTTGTGGTCGCAATGATATAAACTTCTTTGAACGTTTGTACTACTGCTTCCTTTCCCGCGATAAAGCATTCATGCTCTTTGCTTTATTGCCTTTTCTTTCTTTTTTGTTGGCTGTGATATGATCAGTTCAACAAATACTTGCAATGTTGTTGCTTCGTATTTACGAATAGCAAGCATGACACACTGCTATATAATTGTATTGCCCTTCTTGTGATACTATGTTATATAGCTGTGGATTGTTGTTTGTGTTGCCTCTGTCGCTTCACATGAAAACAACATTGGTCTTCATGTTGTATTACACACTTATACTGCTGCTACTGTTGCTCCTGCAATTGTGCGTATTTGTGTTCTTTTACATCATCAGACTGTTATCATGCACATTGCTCATGTATGTATTTTTGTTGCAATAACAAGAATATAATAACGTGAACATTTTTAATGTTTTATTCATAACATACTTTCCTTTGACTCACTTCCTGTGAGCATTCTTTTTTTTTCTTTTGCCTACATATACTACTATACTCCTATAGTATTATTATGTTCGCTTCTTTTATTATTATGTTTCTTTTGAAGCATACATCTTTATTACGTTGTGTGGATGTGCCTATCCCTGAAGCTCAACAAGACTTTATCCGAGGCTAGGAGGTAGATAGGCTGCCTCCACTTGGTTATCGCTACTTACTTTAGTGATGATTGAGGGTCTCAATGCCTGAATTTAAAGCTAGGTGGTGTAAGTAAGGCATGCTCTAGCACCTGGGGAAAGTTTGATGATAGCAGCGGCTATATTGCTATTATAGCGGCGCTTAAAATTTTGCCTCACATCAAAACAGAGGGAAACCCTCGCAAATTTTTTTTTAGGTCAGCGGAGTTTTCAAGCAATCTGATTGGCTAAGAGGTTGGAACAACGAAGGGTTACAACTAGTTAATCTTCTATTGATCTGTCATTTAACATTATAGTGTGTTTGTAATAAAAGTGTGTCTAAACTGTTACAATTTAAATTTTTCTTTATTCAAAATAACATAAGGTGCAATAATTATTAAATATGGCATCCATTACACAGCTTTATGTGAGAGATGTTTATTGGATTTATAACGTAAGGAAAGTTATTTTTATATTATAGGTAAAGTAGTACACTCGGTACTAGATCCTCCCAGCAAGAAAGGTTGAATCTACGCTGTACTTCAATCTCTTGCCAGTAATGCCATAGTCTCCCAGTTGAACTGTCATTGCTTTCAATTCGATTTCTCCAGGGTAGAATGTGACATTATATCGTTGTGCCTTCGCATATTGGTTATAAGCATGTAAGAGAGGGTTGGCAGCATAAAATCTCAAACAGCTTTCTAAATGCAGTGAAATCAGGTTTAAATAGATTTCACAAAAAAAATAAAGCAACAGTAAAATACAATAGAAATCAACTGTATTTTATTTGTGTATAAAACGAACTGAAGATCCTGGAATTTAGTAAAAAAAGAAGAGTATTTATACATTTGCATCTAGCTTGTAGGATTAGTGATGATAGAGAGCAATAGGTGCTGCTATTGCGATATCTGGCAAATGTTGTTGATGTTTGATTTAAAGTGGTAATCAATGCAGGAGCACTGGCCATAAGGGTCGATTTGAGTAGCCTTGATGGGCTTGGGTGAGCTATCGTCATTGCATGATTTAATGTAACCTTGATGGTTTAAAGTGTGATGTTTGTTATTGAAGTATGGAATCCTTTATCTGGGATATTGTGCAACTATGGCAGCAGGGCATAGCTGTCATATTTGAATATGCTTGTTATTGATTTAATTCTATTTGGATAAAGATACCATCACTTATTACGACCATCATGGGTGTGATTGAATACACTGTGATCAGGAGTGATTCATTCACACGATGTGCGATATAAGCGTGTATCTTTACTTTAGTAATTTTAAATGGTTTTTTTGATGTACATTTGAGCGCTTTCATTAATAGATCCAAATAGCATGAATTTGAATGAGTGCTATTTGATGAACTTTGGTTTTCAATTAAGTTGCGTTTGGGTGGCTATTTCATTACAATCAGCAAGCGGTTTCCAATGCAGCGTTTTCCAACATCCAATCCATCGCTCCATCACACGTAATTACTTGAAATTAATAGGCTCTTATATGAGGCCCATTATTCAAAGTTGGCTTATTTCGAAAAGCATGTATTTCTCAGCAGCCAATCCATTTAATTTAAAATATAACTACACCCTCATCTTTCTCGCTCCAAACTGATATAAGAACATGCTACTTTCAAAGTTGTCTCATCAATTTTTGAAAACTCGATTTTGGATGGTTCAAAGTTTGACATACGAAATGGTTTGTACATTGAGAAGTTGATGCGATGTGAGAAATAACATTATTGGGGGACCAAGCTGAAATCAGTTACAATTTCATGCTGATTCTCGTCAATGCCAGACTAATGCTGATAGTACAGATTCTGATTGCATTCTCCACAGTCGGTCATTATGTTTAAATGTGTTTAAATAATAGCAGTATATTGTCTTACATCTAGTGGTTTGTGTAAGCCTTTACGCAGGCAAGCAAATCCCAAGTGCAAGATACCTATATCTGCTCATATTAAAAGACGCATAGAATGGCTTTAAAGTAGGGTTGATGATCCAGTGTCTGATGAACTATCTGATTGTAACGAAATAAAGTGCTGTTGCTTTGCTCAAAACTCAATCTTTTGAGGCTCTAGTGTTCTCAATATTTACATCATGACTGATATATTCTTTCAACACTGCTTAAACTTTGGCGGCTGTCCCTGGAAATCGGTGTCTAGAAGCACTCGCTATTTGGTTGTCAGACAAAGGCAATGTGTATTTATTATCATATTACAGATACTTAAAAATGATGAACAAGGCTGTAGCGCTAATTGCGGTTTTTTTTTATTATGATAATTCCAACACCTCCCCAATTCCGGAAACATAAAAAAAAAACCCCTCAGGTTTCCATACAAAGAGTCCTTAGATCGTCAACAGATATATGTGTTTGACAAAAGCACCAATGTGTAACCCATAACCGACAAATTCTGATTGTTCATGTACGAAATGCAAAACTGCTCACTGCGGTATTTATACTGATAAAGTCAGTTTTAAAGTGTAACAAATATTTATATCACTTCTTGGTGCGACTATCTGAAAATATGCATCATGACATTTTGTTACCAAAGCACAACATGTATGAATTTACTTGTTTTCATGAAAATGACACCATTATCTATATTTTTTTTAAAGTTTCAAATATGGGGGGGGGGGGGGAGAGAAAGAAAGGGGTTAAAAGTCGGATGGTTGTAGTAGGAAGGATAATGAAAGGTTGCCCGGATTTTTTAATTCAGGGCAAAGATCTCTTCATGCTTTACATAGTTCATGTTATAGGCTCGTAAGGCAATGTGTACTGGCTTGTGCGTGAGAGAAAATCAATGCACATACACACAAAGGAAAGCAGGAAAAACTTGATACTAATGAGTGTGTAGAGATGCTGTACGGAATCGCATTAAAAATTCACACACTAAACAAATGCTATCAACATTAGATTGCCAATTATTTGCTTTTAATAATAGAAATATAGTGAGAAACACAGAAGAAAAGGGAGGATGTTTTTTTTTTAGATAGTATGCTGTACAATGAAAGAAAAGAAAGAGAAAACAAAGAAAGTTAAATAGGCTGATGAGTTAATGTTAGACCAAATGAACCAAATGGCGAGTAATTGCTTGCTGTGTTGTTATTGTTGTTATTTTCTGCTGGTATAATATCTTCCATGTATTGATATTTGGTATCAAATGTAACTGTTGTTGTTAAAGGCTCCTCCATTACTCGATTTTTCTTTTTTGTCGCTGTAGAGAGCGTATTGTTTGCAGAGATGTTTGATTTGTTGTTGGCAGAATTTCCATTATCGCAACGTTGTCGCTTCTTGATATTGTCCGTCTTCATAGATAAAGGCCTCTTTTCATGATGTAATTTTAAGCTATCGAAGCAATTCATCAGCACACTGTATTGGAATCAATGTAACGATCCGAAACTTACTATAAACCGCAAGCATTGCACAATGGCGCTCCATCTAAATCACGTCGCCAAAGAGGCGTAGTTGATGTACCACAATTGGAACAAAGAGGTTGAATAATATTCTCATCTTCACCACGAAGATCTTTTCTAGAAGATTGTGGTTTGAGGTATTTCGGTCTAGGCGCATTATGTAATTTAAGACTGTACAGAATGTTAGCAATATGACCATATTAAAACAAGCAAGACAAAGAGACTTACTATAAACCACATGCATTACAAAGTAATTCATCATTCGCTGATCTTCTCCAGAGTGGAGTAGATGTAGTGCTACAATTGCTACAGACAGGCGCTTTTCCTTCCGAAGGCGAGCTATTGATAGCCACTGATCTTTTGTTTGGAGATGAAGATGGAGAAAGGACAGATGTGGGAGAGGAAGATGCGGAGGAAGAGGATCCTCCTAAATCACATGGCAGTGGTGGAGAAGGCGCCCGCGAAGAGGGTAATGATTTAGATTGCTTGTGATGATGTTGATGATGATGGAATTGATGCTGCTGTTGCTGTCGGGGAAGTTGTGGGGCTTGATGATGAGAGAATGTAAATGAGGTACTATGAGAAGCAGTAGGTATAATATTCTTTTTGGTAGTAATCGTTGGAGTAGTAATAGGCTGAGCGAAAAATTGATGTTGTTGTGCTTGTATCACTTGCTGATTTGTCATGACAGGATTGCTTTGTGGTGTGGAAAAGGTGGAGGCTGTCGTCATATAAGGCGTAGTGGGTGTGGATTGAATCATGGAGGATGAGTAATTTGACGATGATGGAATGCTCATACTACTATTGCTACTACTGCTGAAAGTGCTATTGCTGTTACTATTGAGTAGTCTTCCGGCTGTTTCCAATGTCTCTCTGGGTAGTGTCGTTAGTAACTTGTTGTGAAGTGTACCTATAGGAATAGGTGGCATTGCTTCAGATGAAACATACAGGGCAGAGGAATTTTCATTATAGTTATAATCAGTGTAGTCTGGTTGATAAGATGGCGGCTGATATGTAATCGGAGAAGTGCTGTTGCTGCTTGCCTGGGTGAAATCAGATGAAGGCAGAGGCCATGATTGATTTATGATTTGATCCAGTTGTTGAGATGTTGGGCTTTCTTCTGAAGGATCCAAGTAGGCTTGCATGTCACCACTAAACGATTTGAAGATATCGTCTAATTCGATAACCTGATCACCTGCTTGATCTGATGTAAATTGATGAAGCGTAAACTCTTTTTGCCTATCCATGTTTACATTGCTGCTGCTGTTGTTATTGTATAAGCTGAAATCCTGTATTTTTTGCTCTGCTTGCTTCTTTTGCTGTAGGCTTAGTTTCCGTCTGTACTCTGCTTCTAGTTCAGCATGTGTCTTCATGTTCTTTCTCTTTTGTTGCTGTGCTTTGAAATCAAAATCATCTGGAACCCTAAAATTACGAAGCAAAGAAGCAGCGGCAGGGGAAACGGGAGTTGGTTTCTTATTGTCGTTTGTGTTGTGAGCAAACCACAGGCGCCATGAGAGATTCTCTAGTCTTGATCCATTTTCCAGCGAGTCTTTTACTTTGGTACAGACTCTCCATGTCTTGGACAAATCATCAGATGCATCATCATTGTTGAAGGGCAATGATTGCATATTTCCTTTAACTTTTAACACAATGGGCGCCATTGTGGGAATAAATACAGAGAGAGAGAGAGAGAGAGAGAGAGAGAGAGGTATATATAGATTCCTTAAAAAATATATAAGAAGAGAAAGAGAGAGAGAGAGAGAAGAAAGATAAGAATTTTTTAGTTAATATTTGAACGCACACACAGACAGAGAATATGACCTTTTGGCGGAGACAGAATACAAACGCAAGGGGATTCATAAATGTGTATACATTTTTAATGGAATCATGGCGATATATCCTTCCAATCACAGTAGATTACTTTATCATTAGCCAATATATAACAAGAGCATCTCATGTGATTCTATCATGTATAAACTGTGGTATTGTGAATCCAAGGTAGCACAGGTAATATCTGACCTGGCAAAGTGCGGTATTTTGGAGATTATCTGCTTTGAGCTTCAGATGCGGAGAACCCTCCCACCCCTCCTTTTTTAACTGATTCTTTTCCCTGCCCCTTTGTTTATTCACTCAACATGTATAACCATGATTGGCGAGAATAGATTGTGGGGTGAATAAGGTTGAATGGCCTACATGGGAAATCCCCCCAATAGATTTTGTACTGTGTGAATGGCGAAGAAAGAAAAAAGAGATTGTAACAACAACAAACATGTACTTTGTGTTCATATTTTTTCATGATGATCCATGGAACACTTCAATCAGTACTAATATGGAAGCCGAAACTCAACACAAACAAGGGTTATTGTATTCTTTTTACATCATACATCAAGGGTGACATGTCGAGAGCATCTTGAAACTCTTTGATCCGTATTGGTTGCATGTCTATGTACATCTCACTGAAATTATATATTTCCGAGGTGCCTTGTCGCTCAAAAGTGATTAAATCTTTAGTGCCTACCATGGCCATTGTTAATGCCCTCCCACCCCTACCGTTTACAGTCCATTATGATAGCCATGCTTATGTAAGAAGACGACAAAACAAGCGTATGCAAGCATGTACTACATGAAATATGCCAAATGCTGAAAATCATCAAACAAAAAAAAATTGGATTTAGCTGTTTGTGGCAGCAAAATGGAAGCATACATAAATACAACAGATCGATTGTTATTTTAGAATCGTGCACGGCCAAATAGCAACAGTACAAAGCACGGGAGGCAGACAACAAAAGACAACAGCCTATACAGAAAAATACAAGAATGGCCCCCCCCCCTCCTCAAACTTGCCCAATGCTCACCGAAATGCCTCAAACCAAACAGTGTTTACCATTTTCGCAAGATTCCACATTTGCGATTAAATCAACGTTTCCTGTAGATTACAAACAAGCCAACATGTGCGATACGACTGAACAGAAAATATATGATATGCGGTATGCTCTGTTGTGATTTATTCGGGAATGCGTTTGTAGGAACTATTGATCTGTTGAGCCAAGATTTCCGCAGCACCTGGAGTCACAGACTCCTTCTTTTCGTCAACGTTGCGAAATTCAAGGTAATCTTCGACACGGTTGGTCATGACCTGAAGCGCAATTGTATTTTCGACACCTCTGGGAATGATAATATCCGCAGATTTCTTCGACTAGTGTATGGCAAAACGATCAACATCCACACAAAATTCATGCAAACTATGGATCTTACCGGTAAAATGTATTCTTCATACATGGGCTTGACTTTCTCCACATATTCCACCAAGAGTTCTTTGATGGTCAACACGCGCCCATTTCTCACCTTGGTTTTACGCACTCTTCTAGCCAAGCGTTCATCGCTATCCTCATCAATGAAAACCTTCATAAACATCAGATCACATAACTCCTTTTGGTACAGGACCAATGTGCCTTCAACCAACAATACATCTACAGGCTCAATAACGCGTGTGCCTTTTCTAGTTTCAGCCAAGAGAGCCATTGTAAGGATTTATAATCAAAACGCATTAAATTCACAACATATTACCTGGTATGATTTGAAGCATCCCATTCAGGCACAGTGGTTGGCTTACCTGAGAGAATAGATCGAATGGTTTCCTTCAGCAAATCAATGTCGAATACATCTATTTAAGTGGCAAATGACCATGCCGCATGAGTGCTATGCCCACCATTTTTCTTCTTCTCGTGCGCATCTTACCCGGATGATCTGTGTATAATTCGCCTGCCTCGTATTTGATTCTCTCAGATGGTGTGAGTTCTCGATAGAATTGAGTGAGACTGATGAGAGCAACCTTGGTAGCGTGTTTTTTACTCAATCGAGAAGTCAATGCCTCACAAAATGCTTTCTAATCAACATCAGTTTGCAATCCTTTTTCATTTGGTGGTATTTTTTCTTGTATTACTTTTCCAGAGTCTGCACCACCAGCAACGGCGATGGCCATTGGCGTCTTTAAAGAGACCTTAAAGTAGCTGCAATGCAAAGCTGAGCCCTTCGTCTCTGCCCTTCATCCTCGCGATACTTACTTTGGGTCGGCATATTTAGTTGGATCAATCGACATTTGGCCTTTTCTCTCTCTCTCTCTCTCTTTGTGGATTATTCGATGATAATGCGTAAAAAAAAAAAAAAAAAAGCAATAAAAAAATAAAACTAAAAAAATTTATCTTTGGATACAAAACCAATGAGATATCAAGGTGACTTTTTCTATATGAATCAAGGTACCCAATCAACTCATATGAAGGGCCTTTTTCGAATTTTGTTATTTGAACCTATGGCACATTCTTTCTGATTGCATATTTGGCAAAGTTCCCTTTTTTTTTTTTTTTTTTGTATTTAAAAAAATCCTTATATAAAAAAAAAAAGGTTTCCTTTTCTTTTTCTTTTCTCTTTCTCTCATCTTTATTTATTCTTTAAACTTTTTCTTATTCTTGTGATTTACAACAGCAACATCAAAAGCAACAAGAAGCCCCACAACCCCTTGACATTTTGTATTTGATTTTGACAAGAAGCCTCCCCCCCCTTAAACCCTACTCCATCCCATAAATAGTAAACACATATTCAATGATGATCAGTGAACCACAACCATTCGCTCACCCTTTCAATTTCAACGATATTCAAAGAGTCCACCCTCTGTCTGCTTCCCCTGGTTCTTCCGCCTTCTTTCGTGCAACATCCCCTGTTCAATCAACCTCAACTAATATGGATGATGTTACAACAATATTCGTAGTGGGATTCCCCGAAGATATGGCCGAGAGAGAATTCCAAAATATGTTTACATTCTGCCATGGCTTTGAAGCTGCTTCGTTGAAATGGCATTGCAAAGACCAGGACGACGATTCTATCCCCTCCTCAACCAACGGCAAAAAACAAATGGTAAGTAATTACCGTCAGTCTCTCCAATTGGTGAATAATTAACCTTGTTATTAGATTGGATTTGCTAGGTTTCGCACTCGTCTTGAAGCTTTGGAAGCAATCGACGTCTTGAGTGGTAAAAAGATAGATCAAGAAAAAGGCACAGTGCTCAAAGCTGAGATGGCCAAGAAAAACTTACACATCAAGCGAGGATCTGCCACCCAAACATCCACCACATCTTCCTCGACTACGACGTCCACTGCTGCGACAGTTGCCCCGCAATCTGTTGCTGTAAACTCCACTACAAGCCCCAATACATCGCTGGTCGCCTCCTCTCTCGCTACTTCTGAATCCTCCTCATTGAAGAACATGCAGCAACGTTATGACTCTTTCTCTCCTTTACCAAGTGATTTGCTCTCACCTCAAGATTACAAAACTGATTTATTTATTGATCCAAACTTCAATGATTCCCTCTTTGGCATTCGATCTCAGTCTTTTGATCAAGATTTAGGTTTCATATCATCTCGTGCATTTGGCTTAGGTCCAACATCTTCATCCACCATTCAACAGCATCAGCATCAGCATAATCTCTCATCTCATCATCAACACCAACATCAACAGCATATTCAACAACAAAATCAAAATACACAGCAACAACAGCAGCCGCAAAGATTACCCAAATTGATGAACGACGCAGATGAATATCACTACCTTTCAAAGTCTTCTCCTGTTCCCAATGACACCCGTTTTGACAGCGCCAATCTCCTGGAACATGATTTGATGAGAATGGGATCTCTCTCGCTACTTACAAACAACTTGGATTTGAGATCTTCGCCTGGCAGTAGTAGTCTCTCATCTCCAGTTCAACGTTTGCCCAACCCCGCTGATCAAAACCCCCCATGTAATACCCTGTATGTCGGCAACTTGCCACCCAATACGTCTGAGGAGGAACTTCGTCAAGTATTTTCACTCTGCAAAGGCTACCGTCGCATGTGTTTCCGCACAAAGCCTCAAGGCCCCATGTGCTTTGTCGAGTTTGAAGACATTGTTTTCGCATCTCAAGCTTTGAACGAATTGCAAGGGCACAATTTGACAAACTCCGTTAAAGGTGGCATCCGCCTATCCTACAGCAAAAATCCATTATTCATCAAGCCCAACAAGGAAAATGGTTTAATGAGCTTCAAGCAGATGGGCAATGTATTGATGTCTGATCGTACAAGAGATTTTATGTTTGATCCTCAGTTATAATGTCATATATTCGTTTCATCTTTTATTTAAAAATTAGTATCTTAATTTCATAGAAAGCATTTTTTTAATACATACAACAAAGCAATAAAATTAATCCCCCACACAAATACACACACACTTGGTACAGCACTTTTTTTTTTTTTTTTTTTGCTTTTCTGTCTCTCTCCTTCAACCCCTTCCCCCCCCCCCCATAAAAAACATTTTTTATATAAATATATCTCCATTCCACCATTATTATAAAAACATTTCTGTTGTCCATTCCTTGTTTGAAATGATGTTTTGTTGCTGTATCACAGCTGGACATCAAAAAAGTTAATATATCTTGTACCCTGGTGGATTTGAGTCCAGCCCTTTAACTTTTAGCCATGTACCCAATTAAACAGCATGGGGAAGGCAGCAGTTTACCCGGTTTTGCGTAACTCCAAGATGGAATTGGCTCATTGTTGCTTGGGTGCTTGATCGTTGCCTTGTACATTCCAAGATCGGGCATCAAAATAGATGCGCATCGTCTCGCTTTACAAGAAAAACATTCATCATCATCAGCGAAATCTCGATCGAATGTATCATCATTTTGATTTCGACTTGATAGCAATGGCTATTATGTAATTCAGAGGCATCACAATGCGACCACTAGCGTCTTCTCTTCCTTCTGACGACTTTTGTCAAGGCACAACTGCTCTACATCTACCCCTCTTATGTTGCATTTCCGAATGCACTGATCTACTGAATAAAATCATGCCAGAGTTCCTGGAGTATGTATGGTGACTGTTAACACCCTGTCGATGCCATTAATCAAATTTGATGAATATGCAGCTTTTGCTTCAGATGCTGTCGTATCCAAACAGCTCATTTGGGTGAGTGAATAGAGCATTGCAATGATGTTTAATGCGATCGGTTAGAAAGTTTGGTTATGCACTACTGTTGACCGCTTATATTTCCCCAAACGTATAAAAAAATCTAACACGAGGTACATTCCAGCATCTAAACTACATACTGGCGGCTTATTTTATTTGTATTCTTCAGCTGAATAAACTTCAGAAGCATCGATTATCTTGGGATGAGAGTAGCATTGAATATGCCTGCCAAAAAACAAATTAAAATTCCGCTTATTTTCTTTTTGTCCAGGATTGGTCCAATTCTCTTCAAAATCGACTTGGTCTATCTCTTTCGCAAGATTCGACTATATAAACTGTGGTGCTCATCCCACACTCCCTTAAGCTTTCTAAGACTACTTTTCAAGGTGCATGCAATGGTGCCATGTATAATGCATGTCTTGAACAAAACTATTGAGGAATATCGAAAAATACGGAATGAGATTTTCGCCAAAAATGTCGAGGTTTTGTATATAAAGACCTCATAAATAAAGCTTCAGCGGTTGTTTTGGATCTGTAGAAACATTTTGACTCAATACATGCCATAGTAAAAGTCTTCATTTTCAAGGTGAAAAATGCAATCGTTTGATTTTCGATGAAAACCATGAGGTATCCCTCATGCTTTTTAGTTGATTTCTGGCCATGTTTTTTGGGTCTTCAAAAAGTCGAGCAAAGGTGTCAGGAAGTTAGTGCTATGCGAGAGCAAGAGTTTGGTGCTGTTCTGGTGGTCTGAAGCGGTTTTTAGGACGAGAAATTACGGCTCAGACACCAAATTTTGCTGTATCTCGCTAGGCATTGAGTAACTGGAAGCAATGCAAGTATGCTATCTGCTTGTGTACTGCGTCGTTATTTAGGGCGATGATAATACAGCACTCTCCACGAGACGGTATTGTTGGGCGTTCGTTGTTACCCAGTACGTGCCTGATATGGCATGTCGATCTGCTTGGACAACTCAATGCTCTATTGGATGCGGTATAGCGCAGCATTTCGCAGTAAATCGCTCGGTGCTGCGTGTCAAAACTAGGCGCCTTCTCCCATGTACACACTTTTCATTCCACCCTAACAATGAATCTTGATCAAATATGATTCCATGCAATTAAATATGCCTGTCAAGTTTTGCGCAATCTAACGCACAAGACATACCGCTTGATCTCTCGCAAAGTTTCATTGAAAAAGAGTCGATTATCGGTCATGATTCAAAGGACATGCGCAATAGTTCATTTTTCGCTCTAAAAAGGGATTCATCCCTTATTGGCTGGTCATCAAAGAAACTTTTTTTGATTGATTGTATTTGTTTTAGAATATTCTTCCAGTTAATTCTCTTCTTTCACTTCAACCATCCCTATCTACGACAAAAAGAAATGAGCGAACCTGAATATCAAGTGTTGGAAATTTCAGATACTGAAAGCGATTTCTATGGTACGCCCAACATGGAGGCCTTTGGCAGCGACTCTCCTGTTGTGTTAGATGACAATAGCACACCTCAAGATATCGATAGTCCAAGCGCTTCCAGCTTTGTACTGGATCTCACCGCTGCGGATGACTACGATGTAGTACTCAGTATCAGTGACGATGAAGACGGCGCCAGCGATAAAAAGAAACTGAACATGGCAGGTTCTAGTGCACACAACAGTATTTCATTAGATGACGACGCATATGCATTTTTTGTCGAAGCAGGTCTAGAAGATCCAGATGAATTGAGCAAGTTTGGCATCAACATTGATGAAATCAACGCACAAAGACAAATTGCAGAAAAGCTGGAGTTAGAAAACAAGCGAGATCGTGAGTTTGCCCTTGAGCTACAACGACAATTGGAAGGCAGTAGCTCCACAAGCGCAGCTGCATCATCATCATCGCCATCATCAAGTGCACCATTATTATCAGATGGAGGGCCTTATCGAAATGCATCCTTCATGTCACAAACGTCATTGAAGCGAGAGATAGACGCTATCGACCGCGGAGAGAACAAAAAGATCAAGTTCGGTTCCAACAGCAAAGACAAAACACCCTTTGAGATCATTGACGACGACGATGATGATGATTGCATTGATCTCACCAGTGAAACCCCAATTGCTTATGGAAACTTTCACTACTTGACTGACTCTGATGAAGAGGATAGCGATTATGATGTGCAGGATTACCTTAGCAACCCCATATACGGCTACCCTTCTCATCCATATTTCTTTGGTACATCAGACGGTACTGGCAATTCTACACATCAAGACAGATCTCAATCATCATACAACATCATGGCTAGTGTTCCAGGACGCCTTGCCGACGTTCCAATGCCTCGCATGCAGTCAGCAGCCACAGCAGCGTCATCCAACAGCTTTACAAGTCTTCTTCAATCACATATGGCAGCGATTGCAGCTCAACAGAGTGCAAAGAAGGGCTACTATGCTAATCCGCATCTTCCTTCCCTGTATTCAAGACCTTTGGGTCAACAGGAAACTGAGCGTGAGCTCCGTGAGTTGCTAGAGAATATTGTTTCTGACGAGCCGCCTCCACCTGAAGATCGCACTGGTACTCCCGATGGCTTGTCAATCACACTGTTGGAGCATCAAAAGATTGGCTTGCAATGGATGACCAAGATGGAAAATTCCAATAACCGCGGTGGTATTTTGGCTGACGATATGGGCCTCGGAAAGGTAAGAAGAGCAATAGCTATGAATGCACTGTATGTACCAACCTTATGATAGACTATTCAAGCCATGGCAACCATCGTACAAAACCCATGCACTGATTATGCAAGTGTGGACCATGGTGAGATTGAACCTGCCAACAGCCGTCTTGGACAAGGCGAATTGAAGATCAAGGCCACTTTGATTATATGTCCAGTGTCGCTGATGGATCAATGGCGCAGAGAGATTGAAGAAAAGACCAGTCCTAGACTGAAGGTGCTCGTCTTTCACGGTAGCCATAGAACAAGCAACCCTCGCCATTTGGCTCTTTACGATGGTAAGCCCAAATTATGCAGTATCAGTGCGTTGGTATTAAATCTTTTCTCTTTAGTAATCATCTCGTCTTATGCTGTCACTGCATCCAATTTCAAGGAAAGTAGCTTGGGCCCCTTCCACAAGATTACCTTCCACAGAGTCATCTTGGACGAAGCACATACCATCAAGAACAAGCAAACAGCAGCTGCGCGTGCATGTTGTCTGATCGACGCCAACTACAGATGGTGTATGACTGCAACTCCCATCCAGAACAAGATTGAGGAGCTGTTCTCTTTGCTCAAGTTCTTGCGTATCAGACCTTTCTGCGACTGGGAAGAATTTAGAGACACCATTGCGAAGCCAATGAACACTGGCTACCACAAGAAGGCTATGCGCGTTGCTGCTGTACTGATGAAGGCCATCTCACTGCGTCGTTCCAAGAAGGCCCTGATTGACGGACGTCCTATCCTCGACTTGCCAGAAAGAAACGTCCACATGACCCACATTGATTTCTCGCCAGACGAAAGAGTCCACTACGAGTACGTCAACCAGCGTGCTCAAGCAAGATTCAACAAGTATTTGAAACAAGGTGTCGTCATGAAAAAGTACTCTTCCGTGTTGGTGCTCCTGTTGCGTCTTCGTCAGGCTTGTTTGCATCCCCATCTCACATTGACCGAAGGCGAATCTGAGCCACAGCAAGGCGAACAAGGACTATCTGAAGAGTTTCAGGAGCAGGCTGCCAAGGACATGAGTGCAGAGGTCATTCAACGTTTGTTGAGCGACAGTGCCACTCTCAGCGACATTGAGTGTCCCATCTGTATGGATACTGCTCAAGACGCTCAAATCCTCAAGGGCTGCGGCCATATTCTGTGCAAAGAGTGTCTTGATTCCTACATCAATACCAATGATGGCAGCCACAAGCGCTGTCCCCAGTGTCGTGGTGAATTAAGCATGAACAAGTTGGTCGGCGTGGAGGTCTTTATCAAAGTCCATGCACCTCACCTGTTGGAAGAAGTCAATGAAGATGCAGAGGAAGAGGAAGAGGGGAGAATTGCCAAGGAAAAGGAACAAGAAGCACTGCAAAGAGTACAAGAGTATGTGTCCAGTGCCAAGATTGACAAGATGATTGAGATCCTGGATACCACTGCTTCAGAAACTGGCGGACAAGACAAGACGATTGTGTTTTCTCAATTTACTGGCTTCGTAAGTGCTGTAGACTAGCTTCTCTCGGGATGTTTGATGCTAATTATGTGTGTATAGCTTGACTTAATGCATCGGCCATTAAACGACAGAGGATACAAATACCTTCGTTATGACGGTTCCATGGATATCAAGCAACGCGCAGATACTGTTGGCAAATTTTTTGATGACCCCGAAGTCAAGGTCCTGCTCGTCTCTACAAAGTGTGGTTCTTTGGGTCTGAACTTGACTTGTGCCAATCGTGTCATCTTGATGGATGTCTGGTGGAATCCTGCACTGGAGAATCAAGCCATTGACCGCGTTCATCGTATTGGTCAATCCAAGTCTGTAGACGTGCATCGTATCTTTATCAGCGACACAGTAGAGGATCGCATCTTGACATTGCAAGCGAAGAAGCAGGTAAGCGGCTTGTTTTTTTTCCATTTGTTGAAGATTCATGTAATTTTGACATTGCACTAGACTATCTCTGATGGCGTGTTGGGAGAAGGCTCTACTAACGATTTCAATCGTTTGGGTGTACAAGAGTTGCTGTATCTTTTCCGTGGTGGTGATTTACCTGATACTGAGTCTGGCCCATCTGGATCTTCAGCAGCAGCATCGGGTGTTGCATCCAGCTCCAGATCCTGAAAAGCTCCTCCCCTCACTTGATGTACATAATTTATCGCCCATTCAACATTGTTCATACCCTCATCTTTCAACTTGCATGACTCAATTACTTGTATGTGTATGAGTGCGTGCAGGACACCTTTGTGCAAATTACATATACTTTAAATACGATGTGTCTCTCTCTCTCTATTGAATCAATAAACACGAAAGTTTTCATCAATGCCCGCTCAAACAGACGCATGAATTTGACATGAAACAGATCAATGATACAATTATTACAACAAATGTCAAAACTGCTTTATACGGAAGGGCCATTATTTTATTGTTTTAAGTGCCATTGTGATAAATGATGTAGAAGAAGAAAGAAAGAAAGACAAATAGATGTATAATCAAAGTTTAGAAAGCTATATATTGTTTGTAAGGAAGGACACCTAGTTCTTGGATTTTTTCTTTGTAGTACCCGAACTGGAAGCCTTTCGCTTTAAAGCAGATGATTTATGCTCTTTGGCAGATCTGTTATTATGAAATCGTCAGTGTCAAAATGTGTTTATACTAGTATCCAAATGTTGGCATTGACTTACTCGGACTCTCCCTTGGTAGCTGCTGCTGCTTGTACACGAGTAGATCGACGAGTAGGCTCAGTTCTGGAAATGTCAATAAACGCATTATGTTAGGGATGGATGATTCAAACGTATCCCACCAGCTTTGCTTACTTGGGCTTCTCGACTTTCTTGGCTTTAGTAGATGCTTTGCGTTTGGGAGTCTCGGCTTTCTCTGCATTGCTTTCCTCCTCCTTCTCGTTGACATTTGACTTTTTGTTAGACTTTGATTCGTCGTTACGTGCCGTTTTAGCTGCTCCATTGCTAAATTTTTCCTTATCGTCACCGTTTCCTTCCTTGTCTTTCTCGGTATCAACGCTCTCCTTGGTTTCCTTGGCTTCCTTGGTTTCAGTACCATGCTTATTAGTTTCATTGTTTTTCCTATAAAAAAAAAAAGCAAGGTTCACATCAAATTGAACAAGATGTTGTCAAAGAACCATAATTTACTTGTCGGTTGTTTTAGATGACTCTGCATCTTTGGAGGACGATATGGGCTTCTGCTTACTATCCTCCTCTTCATCACCTTGAGAGCCTTTTCCTTCAGCCTCTTCTTCGTCTTTAGGAAGCTCGCCATCGGCCCATGCTTCTCGGATGCGCTCTTGGTCCTCTTCCCTGATAGTATCAAATCCACTCATTTCTTCGGGCTCAGACATGGCTTCTCTCATATTGGCAAGAACTTTGGGAGTGGTGCATAGCCTTTCACATGGTGTCAATTGCGTATTTTTTTTTTGTGTTGATCCGTACAGTAAGTAACTTACCAATGGCGCCAAGTGACACGAGCAGTACCTCCGATGTCCGTTTCGACACCAAGTCGCAATGCACCTTTCTAAAGCACTTGTAAGCAAAATGTGATCAAGATGATCCTTTATGCTGCACTTACAGCAATAGTATGATTTTCAGATATACAACCTTTCTTGGGCCCTTTGCAAACACTACGATCACTCTATAGGCACCAACAACATCAGGCATTGATAAATGTTGACATTTTTACCCTCATGTATAAACGTTACCTTTGCGTACTAGTTGGTAAAATGAGAGAGAAGGAGATTAGCTATGCTGTAATTGAGATGAATGAAGCAAATACAACTTACTTCGATTAAATAAACCATGCTACGTTTTGAAAGAAAAGAAAAACAAGACAAGAATATTTAAAAAAGAGAGAGAGAGAGAGAGTGGTAAAAAGAGATTTTGATTGTCCAAGATGTAGGCGTATTTGTCGTTTGAGTGACGCAAAGTGAACGTCTTCTCTCTTCTTCACTCTCTCGCTCTCTTGCTTGGCCAATGAAACCATAAAAAATTGATATATATATATACATATAGACTCTTCATCATCTCTTACATAAAAGAAGAAATCTCTGTATACCATGCATGAGACATCTATCATCATTTTTCGGCTGCAGTCATCTGGCTTCTGTATTCCCTGTAACAATGCTCTTTTTCATGTTGGAAACCAGCGTGTATTACGTGTATATTCCCTCTTCTGGTAATTTTTGCGCATAAAACTCTTTACGATTACACAAGCTGGCATTCAAGCCGACACAAATTTATAAAGCATGATTGCTCAGGTACTCAATGTCTTTCGATTATTTTTTTTAAGAGCACCACATTTACAATGCTATCTTTGGTCAAAGCTGTATCATTGATTGTTCCTCTTGTATCTCTTGTCGTGTACCAAGCAGCCAGCAAGCCAAGTTTTCTCAGTCTCCCGTGTGCCGTGGTGGGATTCGACTGTCCTTCTCATATTCCGGTGCATGGCTTTGTAGATGACGAATATAAAGAAGTGTACGACCTTTTTGTGGATAACATCAAGCAGGGTCATGAAGTGGGTGCTAGCCTCACTGCTTACGTTGACGGAAAGCAGGTCATCAGTCTTCAAGGTGGCTGGCAAGACGTCGAGAACAAGATTGAGTATACAAACAATACTTTGCAGATGGTCTTTTCGTCCACAAAAGTCCTGGTAAGTGCGCTTATGTGTCCATGCTTACTGCATTTCCCACGAGGCAAAAAACATTAATAAATAAACTAACGTAGGCTGCTATTATCATTGCTCAACTGGTGGATCAAGGACTACTGTCTTACGATGAACGCATCGCAACGTATTGGCCCGAGTTTGCTCAAAACAACAAGGAGAATGTTACCCTGATGGATCTGGTAAGCAGGTTCAAGTGTGCTCGATTGTGGCAAAACTGCTTACAAAAGAAATTTACCCATGTAGATGAGACACACAGCTGGTGTGGGTGCATTGGACACTCCCATTTCTTTGGCCAATGTCACTGACTATGCTACCTTTACCAAAATCTTGGCCGAGCAGCCTCACAACTTTGGCGGCATCCCAACACATGCTTACCATGCCATCACGCAAGGATGGTATCAGAATGAGATTATTCGTCGTGTCGATCCTCAGCACCGCACCATTGATGATTTTGCCCGAGAATTCAAGGATAAATATGGTTCAGAGTGGTACTTGAAGCCAGATGCTACCGAGGGCGTAGATCTTTCTCGCATTGCTCCTTTTTACTCAAGACCTTCTTACCAAAAGTTGATTGGTCTCGCTACTGCCGTCTTGAATCCTTTTACTGACAAGACCTTTCTCAAAGCTCTATTTGACAAGAACAGCCTATTCACAAAGACAATTATTCATGCAAATATCGGTCAGAAGAAGGGTATTATGAACAATCGTGATCCTGAAACACGAGCCATTGAAGGACCCTCCTATTCCGGTCATACAAATGCGGATTCTGTAAGTTCACACCATGTACTACTAAACAGATTCGGCTTATGTAACAATGTTTATGTACGTAGATGGCTAAACTTGCAGCAATGATGGCAAACAGAGGCAAGGCCATTGTCGAAGGGGAGCCTGATCTTTTTATCAACGATTCTACCTACCAAGAAGCTACTGCTTTTGTTGCCAGTGAGGTAGATGCTGTGTTTCCTCAAATTGTAATTCACAATCAACGTGGTGGATTCATGGCTTTCCCAAACGAGGGCTTTTTTGACTTATCTGACAAGGAAACTCAATTTGTAGGTGGTGCAGGTGCAGGAGGATCTCTGTTCGTTTGGAATGAAAAGTATAATATTGCATTTGCTTATGCCATGAATGGATACAATGACAACATTGATACGGATAGAAGGACAAAGCTGGTTGTCAAAGCAATTTTTGAAAAGGTCAAGAAGCAAAAGAATCTGAAATAAACGTTATTACTTTTTGTGAATCATCTTCACTATATATATCTTCACTATGTATTTTCATTATATATACAAGGACATAATAATGCGTCTAATTCAACACTTGATAACATTGATTTATAGGGGAGATTTACCGTAGCGAAGCAAAGGTGCAAAACCTATGACAACTAAGCATCTAATCCAGCATTTGATAGCATTGATCTCTACGAGGGCTTGATTGCAGCAAAGCGAATATGCAAAACCATAGTATTCAAGCAGCAAATTCGGGTTTTCATTTCCATTGTTAATAAGCTTACCAACAACATAGCGCATCAAAATTTGCTTGAATCAGCTTTACCGAAATCAATATGCCTCCTATTCGAATTAAAAATTGCTCAAGCTACAGAACTGTCTTTCCAGTGAATTGCAGTTACCAAAGATGCGATTTATGCCGTGTAAATAAACTCTATAAAGCCATACATAACCAAATTTGACAGCTTTCCAGCCTTCATGTATTGACATGTAGACCTTTATGAGCCACCGGAATGACACCAAACAGTTGTACTTGAGTAGTAGTAACTTCATGATACCTTTGCTCAACTTTTTGAAGACCCAAAAAATATGATCAAAAATCAAACGATTGCATTTTTCACCTTGAAAATGAAGACTTTTACTATGACATGTATTGAATCAAAATGTTTCTACAGATCCAAAGCAACCGCTGAAGCTTTATTTATGAGGTCTTTATATACAAAATCTCGGTGTTTTTGGCTAAAATCTCATTCCGTATTTCTCGATATTCCTCAATAGTTTTGTTCAAGACATGCATTATACATGGCACCATTGCATGCGCCTTGAAAATAGTCTTAGAAAGCTTAAGGGAGTTTTTTTTTTTTTTTTTTTGTAGGGGAGTCGAGCTCCAGGTTTTATTTGAAGTCCTTTAGATGTCATACTGAGGGATAGAAAAGACTGTTGGTGGACCCAATGTCTGCAATGAAGGGGAATAAGATATATAATGAACTAAGTTGGGAAAGAAATCTACAACTAATCAGGTGCGACACCTAGAGCCAATACAATCATGCAAATCGTCAAAATATAGATACTGGATAAGAGCACAAAACACCAAACGAGGACATCAGTACTACGTCAAAATAATCACCAGAAATGCATTCACTGAGATTTGAACCGGGATCATCCAGATGGCATGTTGGATGCCTAACCATTTCGCCCTACCACCACGGGCGCAGCTTAAGGGAGTGTGGGATGAACACCACAGTTTATATATTCGAATCTTGCAAAATAGATAAATCAAGTCGATTTTGAAGAGAATCTGGCCAATCTAAAGCAGTTGGATTTTCGGAGCTTTAAGGTTTTGGCTGCTGGCAAGAATGACAGAAAGGTACTACTAAAAAAAAAGCTTTGCCTGACTACTGCACTTGACCTCTGTTGCGCGTATTCGCAACTGATAGATTTAACGGTTGAAATTGCCCATTAGATGAGAAACATATACGAAATACAACATTGTCGCCTCATTCACATTGTAAATAATACGTTGAGTGTGAATTGGAATTGTAAAGCACATAAAGCACAGCACTTTATTTGTATCTGATGCATAATTTACATGTTGAGTCTTTCAAAAACATACTCCTTCTCATCTCCAGTAAAGGGAACACCCAATTCAATCAACTTTTTAAAGGCATTGGCAAAATCGTCAAAGAAGACAGCAGTATCCTTTGCATACAACTCGAAATAAGGCTTCAGCTTTTCATCCTCCAACATGGTGATTTCAATAGGCAACATCATGACTTCGGGGTTGGCTTTATCAACCCATTGCCACAATCCATTAGGAAGATCTCTCTTGACCCATTCACGCGAGGTGATGGCCTTGTAATATTCATTGGAGAAGAAAGTAGGTGCTTCTTGCCATGGTCCATCATAACCGCTGCGATCAAGATGGCATCTACCTAAAGCATGGCCGCCAATCAATGCGACAATTTCGTGATCATTGAATCCCTAATATGTAGAGTGTTATGTACTGGTTGATAATCGCATAATTTAATTTGCCAACTTTACCATACGATAAAATACATCACGCACATGATCAGCCTTTTTGGATCCATCAGGAAGACGACCATCTGGGGTGCATTTATTATCACCTTGATCTCTGCGACCAGGTCTCCATTTGATGTTAGGGCCGCCCTAAATACATTCATTTTAATACACTGCAACATGATCATGCGATAGCACATATACAAAACTTACAAGCTCTTGGATAGCTACAACACCACCTAGAGTATACATGTCACCATAACTAAGTTCGGGATACTTTGGCTTAATATGCTTTTCAAGAAGATTACGAGCGACTTCCAAGCCATTGTTAGCAGCATGTTCTGCCTCGGCTCTAAAACGCATTGTACCACCATTACTACCGCCAGAGCCATCCTCCGCATTGTAGGTGCCAGATGAATGCCAGGCAAGACGCAAGAGAACGGGCCCGTATGATCCATCATCATAGCTAAACCACAGTTAGACACTTCCTCTCCTCTTCCCGTATCAATGTCAAATATACTCACTCTTCATTGGAATCTAACAACTCGGCAATGTCATTGTAGACCTGTTGATAATTGATATTCTTCTCAGGAGCTGTCTTTTTGGAATCATCAGGCTTGTTGGTGGGTTCCTTTCTAGTGTTCATATTGTCCTTTGATTCTGATTCACTCCTGGGTTTAGGATCTTCCTTCTTCTCCTGTGCTTTTGAAGAAGGTGCGTTTGCAGTATTCTCGAGTTGTTCTTTATGGACAGCTTGATCAATCTGGTCTGCTCTCTTTTTTTGATAATACGTATAAGCAGCACCGAGGGAAATACAACCTGCCCGCGTGCACATGATGAGTCTTTGTTACGGCCATTATAGCGGGTATTGCTTACCAATCCATAGCAAAGGATTAGATCCTGAACCATTGTTTCCTGCTGGAGGAGCTGTTGCGTAGTTACGACGCAGGATGATTGATGTACGGACATTGGTAGTCAATGCTGATGGGCGGACGAATTGACGCGCTCCGTACCGACTTGCTAGACAGCCAAGTGAACGTAATGAAGACATTGTTTATGGTTTAATGTAAGAAAGAGTTGTTTGGAAAATAGAAACAAAGAGAGAAGCTGCATTTGACATTTTATTTGAAGACTATAATTGTTTTCTAAGCAGGGGTTTTAAACCATAGAAACGAAAGATGGGGCAATCATTACGTTTGCGCTTGAAGAATCGGAGCACTTTGATCCTGGAGAGAGATCTAAAAATACACGCATAATAGCTGATGAAATGTTGTCATGGCTCACGTTGTGCGCTGTTCTTTACCTTAACGATGCTCTATGAACATATCTGTGGTCTTGTGATTTTTGCTCTTGCTCCTCCTCCGAAGAACCATGAATAGCAATGGACGAAGCATTCGTCATAAACCGTTTGGAACGCACATGTTCTGACTCTTGCAATATTTGGCGTGTATCTTCTGTAGCGACGTCATGCTCGTTTAAAACCTCTTGAAATCGATTCTGCAAATCATAAAACTCTGTTTTCCATTGAAAAAGGGCCTCCTCAGCAGAGACTAGCTTCTTGGCCAAGCCATTGATCTGCTCCTGCAACACTTTCAGTTCTTGGCTGCTGTGTTCTCTGACCAAATCAGTTTGATAGGATGGCATGCTTCTGAGGGATGACAGGTTGGAGTGCGAAGAGGCTCGGCCGGATGCGTTGGGAGAGGAGCTGGAAGACGGCATAGACCACACTAGGATCGGCATAGACAGTCTGTTCTTCTGACATCTCTTTCTGAACCTGATGCTGAGGGAAGGTGTCTTCATAGTGCGTAGAGTGAAAGGAAAGATGTTGCTCATAGCTGGCTTGTTTTCATCAGGATTATATAGCCGGCTATTCATTGTTTAGTTGATTATTCAACGGGATAACAGTCTTCTAAATGAGTGCATTGTTATCAATGCAGATCATCGCTATTGCTAGCACTTCACCACATCAAAAAGCACTCACCCCATTGAAACCCCACCACGTCTTGTGTGCGGGTGTTTCCAATTGAAATGAAAATTCTTTCCTGCCCTGTCCAATGTATTTATTACAGACTCCCTTTTTGCCAAATTATATATTCTCCTTTTAGTTCCACTTTCTCTTGAAACAATGGATGCCAATTTAGATTTGAAAGATTCTCGCGTGCCTACCTTCATCCCTTTTAAGCAAGAAAAGGCAGACAAGCCAGTGACAAAACCCGCCACCAAAAGAAAGAGAACTGCAAAGAATGACACTGCCGCCAAACCTCAAAAGAAAAAGGCACTCAAGTCAGTTAAAAAAGGTAAATTCGGTAGGACTCTCTTATGGTTACATGCCGTGGTTACATGGTGCTAAATCATCAAACTTTAAATTTATGTAGCAAAGCAGGTTTTCAAAGAAGAGTCTGTTCAAGAGGAAAATATCAAGGTGAGTGGCACTATGTGAGACAGAGAGCAAGGGCAGAGCTAACATGTATGCAGCCAAAGGAACCTGAGGCTCGCCATGTGTGGATTGGTGCAGTAACAAACGAAGAGAAGGGTGCGTTTTCCATCTACCACGGCGAAAACGATAAGCGCAATTACACTGAGGTTTATGAAAAGAAGGACCAACTGGAAGATTTAGAATATGCCTACGTTTTGGTGAGTATAGTGTACGAAGCGGTCGAATGCATGGTATACTGAGAAGCCATTTCAGGGTGCTCTCAAGGCTGTGAAATCAGCAAAATCCGATAGCACACCTCTGATTGTCAACACTACTTGCAGAGATTTACCAAGAGCTATTGATGGCAAGGCAAAGGCCTTCCATTACGAATGCATGGCCAATGAAATCCGTGATCTGATCACTGATAGAGAGGAACCTTTATCTGTGGTAAATAGTAGAAATATGCTGTGCGGTTTATACGTGAAATGTAACCATCTTTACTGCTAGCGTCATATTTCAGGAAGACATGCCGCAGATGAACAAAAAGCAGCTTTGGCACTGGCATTGGAAGCTTTGAAGGCTAGGTAAAATGATGGCAAAAGATATGGGAAACATGGGGACACGTATTGATCTTGTCACTCTAGTGAAGCAGAGAAACAAGTCATTGAAAACTTGACAGTGGGGGAATTGACTCATGTCGTTGTTGAAGAGGTGTCTGGGGAATCAGAGCAAGTCGTCAAGGAGAAGGAAGACGAAGCTGTTGTGTCCTCAACATCCAACGACGAGCAACTAAATCGCATTGTAGAAGATGCCATTGACGCTGCTGCCCAAGTCAATGCTGAGACAATTCAAGAAGCTGTAGAATCCGCAATTGCTCCCTCCACACCAGCAGCCAACAAAGATGTCATTGTGGAAACACAAGTAGAGACCACCGTTGAAACGACAGTTGAGGTAAACGTCATTGAGACTCAAGTGGAACTATCAACCGCTGAGCCCATGGAGCTGGTAGAAGAGGAAGAGCAAGAGCAAGCTCCAGAAGCACCAAAGTCATCCTGGGTTACTGTGTTGGGTCTTCAAAGCATCATCAACGTTTTGAGTTCACCTTTCAAAGCTCGTAGAAACTAAAGGTGGTCACTATCATAACCAAACTATTAAACTATTTCAAATGCCATATAAACCTTTTCTTCTGATAATAAAACACCCTTCATCTACAAAATGTCTATTTTACTACACCCCTCTTTAATTGACAATGTTCAGCTTTTATCTGATATGCGCATTAACAATGTCCCGTTCATGCCTGCGTTGCCACTGACAGAAATTGTAAAGGCCCTGTTAAATGTCTATGCATACAGATCGGCATTAGGAGAGCAGCATGTCAAGCGAGTTACCTGGTTGCAAGGATTCTTAGCGTGCATTGTTTTGGGCTCAGCAGGCTCATGTACTGTTGCAGTGATACGAGGAGAGCCTCTTGGTGTTATCTACAAAGATGAATTCTGGATATTATATGGGTAGAATTTCGTTTGACATTGCTGTATACTTTAGCTCACATGTTTATCGTAGCATCGTCTACTGGCTCATGTTTTCCAACGAATTCATGCATTTATTGATTCACCGTTTATTTTTAGCGTTTCCTTTGGTTCATAGACTGTGTATTTGTCTTTCCGGCATCAATCGAGGCTATTCCCTGGTGCAGTATGGCATAGATGGTGTGGCAAAGTCAGCAGGAATCGATGCAATGGTAGGTAGACTTTTATGTGGCACAATAGTAGGCTGTGGTGCTGGATTCTGGTTTGGTAAGTCAAGTGAATATCACCAAAAATCGCTTTGATGCATACAGCTGATATGCGTATTTAAGAATTATTCAGCCTTGGTCAACATGAATGGAAATTAATAACGCCTAAATCGTTCTTGAGTCCATCCGCTAATGTCAAAATCTCATTCTGGACATCTGTTGGATATCTAACATTCTCTTCATACTTGAGCAATGATCATGAGGCGCATGCAATGGGCTCACTGGCATTTGCTTTGCTGCTTGTATTGAATCATTACTATACCTCACACAAATGCAGAGATGCTCAACGCGTAAAGGAGGGTAAAGCTGACTAGGGCAATTGAGACTTCTTTGAGACACCAACGCTGGCTCAGCCGGCTCATATGGGGGGGTTGTTTGTCTGTAAATATGATGCAACGATAATATAAAGCTTGTATTCATTATTAGTCAAATCATTGTTGCGCGTCTAAACCGTTTTAGGCCTTGAATGCAATTAAATTCTAAACTGAACAAAGTCTGCATGATTTTCGTATTTGTTATATTGTTACCATGGATATTTTAAAAAAGCTCTGTGCTATACAAATTGTTTGATTCTATGGACTTCAATGCGTTCTTTAACATGGCGAACTTGAACATCATATCGCCAATATGTTGACGTGATATTTCAATGAACTTAGAGAACAGCTGGCATCATAGGTCCATCCTTTAAACAGCCATTCAATATGTGAGCAAAAGCGATTTGGCTACTTGTACATCGAAGTACTGTCATTGCAAAAAGGCAAATATGCTAAAAACCAGAAGGATACTCTTGATATGACGAATACTGCGCCTCTACATGTCTCTTTGATGTACAGGCACAATACGTATCGCCGAGAATCCGACGCAACGATATGTACATGATGGTTCCCTTGATATAGTGATATTACGACGTGGTGCGTAATCTAATACACCTGTATTTATCCGCACTTGCCAATTTACGCATTGGCACGTTTTGTGTTTCAAACAAACTGCACATCTATAATTGTACGGCGGAGGAGAGCCAGCCCTTTTTTGCTTGGGAATCATGATATTTGGATGTATGGGAACGGGAGTCAAGGACCTCCCGTGACGCCCGTTCGTCTTAGTAATCAAATGCATCTCTTCAGGATAAACGCTAAAGACACTCTGTACTGCGGTGATCTTGTTGTATAGAGCCCATTTTTCGCTGATATATAACTACTGGCGAGAAAAAAGACGCATCATGGATACATCATCGTTCTCCTGCACCTTGGAAAGTTGGGCCGAGATTCTCTAGTTGGTAGCAGCAGTTGACTGATTTGCATTCAATGATAGTCATTGCGATCGAGTTACGACAATAGCCTTTTATGGTCATTATGCTCTAGGGTCATTCATGTGTCTGTCGAATTAATAATCAAGGCAATCTCAATTCACCGTGTACAACCATGCTATTTTATATAAACACTACATACTCTATATATATATAAAGTATATATAAATACGAACATCTCATATTTTAAATGCTTCTTTACTTTTTTTTTCCCTCTTTTTGATCCTTTTTCACATAAACAAGTACCAATATGGAACATCTTTTCTCTTCATATCAATCCCCTCTGGATCCCCTTGTGTTTGATTCAGTGATTGAGCCTTCTGCTAATAAGCCGTTGGACATGGAAACAAAGGCAAATCTTGAATTATGGGTACGTTTACATTTTACCAAGATTCAGGGCCAAATATACTGATCTGGCTATTTTAAACATGCAGACAAATGCCCAATTTACATACGATATTCAGCCAGGAAGTGGTCTTCCTGATGAATCAATCAAATCTACGCTGTCCTCAGTGTCAAGCCCAGAATCTATTGCTACTACCTTTAGTAGCAGTAGTCCGTCAACTATCACTTATGAAAGCTTGGCCAATTACTTGGATTTCGAGCTTCCTCAGCAGCATTTAACATCACAGCTCGTTGCACCGCCACGACAACAGCCCCAACAGCAGCCCCAACAGCAAGTACAGCAACAACATCAGCAGCGTCAAGCGCCGCAATTACTACTGCCAAAGATCTCGCCCAATACAACCCTCGAAGAAATCGCCAAAGTGTTACTCTCCAATATACCCAATACTGCAACGACCGTAACTGCATCTAAAGTTCCCATGACATCAACTACATCAATGACACACCCAGCAAAAGTAAGCAAAGAGAAATCAGCTGTCGAAGAAGACAAAAGAAAGCGAAATACAGCAGCAAGCGCCAGATTCCGTATCAAGAAGAAGCAAAGAGAGCAATCAATGGAAAAGACTGTACAAGAAATGACTGAGAAATCAACAGGTCTGGAAAACCGAGTGAAAGAACTAGAGCTCGAAATCAAGTTCCTCAGAGGCCTTTTGATTGAAAAGAAGCAAGAAGAGGCAAAAGAATCTAACGAATAGAGTATGCCAATCCTGATTATGCTATGCCCTGTATGCTTTATGCCATGTATCTATTTCAATTGTAAATAAACGTAATACATATGATCTTAGATGACTATTAAAATACAAATCAATCAAAATATTTGTATTTTAATCTTCATCTTTTCTATCTCTCTCATTCTTTCTTTTACTACGCGATGTCCTTCCCATGAGAGATTCTCTTCGATCACCTGCTATTTCTTTACATTTAAAAATGTAACCAAAAGATAAGATGAAGACCATTTATGGACACATCTTATTGTTCTGAGTATTTGAGCAGTACTGTATAAACACGATATATAAATAAATTGCTGATTGACATGGGGTCAAGTAGTACCAAAGATGCAGTTAGAGGTTTCACATAACTATACGAGAACCGAACATATTTTCCAAAATGTACATTGGAACGAATGATACGATAAAAACGAACTTTAAATGGGAACAAGACTACTCGTTCAAACATCAAGAATTAGCGTCTACGATTTTGAAGCGACATTTTACGAGAAATGAAAAGGTTGGCAAGATCAATTTACCCACAAAGGAAGTAATAAGAACTACAAAGAACAATTGAATACTATTGTTTCGACGGTGTACAATCGGGCCAATGTCGACATACACCTACTTGAAAATATCAAAAATGGCACTAAACGACATTCGTTGTGGTAACATAATATACTAAACCACATTATATAGAGCAGATAAAAAAATAAATGGCAATTTGGCATATCGAAGATAATCAGACACATCAAAAAACAACCCATACAATTGACAAATATCTAGTAAGTATGTTTCAGTAGAAACATTCTACCGATGCTTCGACATCATCGCTTTACTCGCGTCTTGCGCATACCAGCTGCATACAATAAAAGAACAAAGAAAACTGCCCCACATACTATAGAGGCGGATAGATGTATGTCATTGCTTGAGGTTTATAATGCGCATAGCTGCAAAATCATTCCATAATGATGTAAGTTTGATTCGGGAGCACAGTGTGCGTTGACTTTTTATCCCTGAACTACAATGAAACAAGGTTATTGTTCAATTCGGGCCATCAACCCCAAGAAAAACATGTATAAAAAGAGGTGATTTATGAGACAAAATAACATACAAACTCTACATAGCATTGTCGCCATGAATCCCATACCAAAATTATTATTTTCAGCAACTTTACTAGCGACGCTTTGTCTACAATCTGCGTTTGCTGATCAAAAAGCCATGAATCATGCAGAAATGGACATGCTGCAAGAAACAGTGCCTAAATTCAATGAATCCGAAACTGAACCGATGTCCTATGCATTGTTCCCTGACAACAAAGGCTTATTTTACTCTCATGTAGCATTTGTGACTATTGGCTTCTGGTGTTTGATGCCAATGGGCATCATGCTTGGTGTAGCAAAATCTAGTTTGCATGTGCCTATTCAAATTCTGACAGTTATCTTTGCTATGATTGGTTTTTTCTTTGGCAAACTCTATGGCCATAGCGCTCCTCACCTGTATCAAGGCAATGTACATCACTCTCTCGGCTGGGCTCTGTTTGCTTTGCTCATCACCCAAGTTGTAGGCGGGCTTGTCCGCAAGATCTCCAATGCAATTAAAAGCCATGTTGCTGAAAGTGATAGATATGAAACCATCGGTCTCGTCAACCACCAAGGATCATCTTCTTCTCCAACTGGTTCAGGAAGAAGTAACAGTGTTACGTCTGAATATACACTGCATAACAACCCTGACGACATGTCTTTTGAAGATGAATCAATGACTGATGTTGAAACTGAAGTCCCTTTGTCTTACTCTTTGAATGAAAAGTTGCCATTGTTTAAGCGTATAACAAATGCTATTTTACCCTTTGTTCCAAGTATCGTCAAGAGAGGATTTAAAATTGCTGCAGATAACAGATTCACCAACACTGCTTGTCGTATTTTTCATCAATCCTTGGGTCGTGTTTTTGTTTTGCTAGTTTTCACTCAAACTATCAGTGGTATGGTGGTGTATCATGGCGTTTGCCGGTAAGTCGCTTGTATTCACAACTTTATATCGACACTTATGAACTCTTGTCCTGAAATAGTAATTGGGAGATCTTTGGCTGCATTGCTCATTTAATCAAGGGTGGTATTTTCTTTTGGTATGGTATTGTTACGTTTGCCAGATATCTTGGTTCTTTTGCAGATAAAGGCTGGGCATGGAACTATGTCCCCCATGGTAGCAAGTTTAGCTTCGAAATGATTGAATGTTCTCTCATCTTTTTCTACGGTATCACGAATACTTGGATGGAACATTTTGGGCAAGATGACGCTTGGACTCATAAAGATTTGGAGCATGCTAGTTTGGCTTTTATGTTTTGGTGGGCTGGCTTACTTGGTATTCTGATTGAAAGTCGTACTGTTCGAAGAATTCTCGAAAAGTCAATGCCTCGCACTCCTTACGACGACAATGAAGAGTTTGCGGTGGTCAGCAGTAACAAACAGCACGGTGCTAAGTGTTCCAAGAAGCAGGAGCCACAAACCAACTTCAATCCTATTCCTGCCTTGACTATTTTGATGACTGGGCTCTCTTTAGGAAACCACCATCAAGATACCCTCTACTCTAGCAGGGTACACTATCTTTGGGGTTTGCTTATCTCTGCTGCTGCCATTTGTCGTATCATCACTTACATTACCTTATTCAAAAGTCCTCCCAAGAGCGGCAAACCTCTTCGTCCTCCAAGTGAAGCACTGGGTGCCTTTTTGTTAGTATGTGGCTCTATCTTGTTTATGGCTTCGAACGCAGGCACCATTTTATGGCTCAGACGTAATGCTGTTGATTCAATGTTCCTCCTGAATGTTACAGTCTCTCTCACTGCTATGGTGCTTTCATACGTAGCTTTTCTTGTTGTTCTCAAAGCTTGGGCTGCAAACCGTGAGGCTAAAAAGAGAAGCAAGAAGTATCAAGCTATGAGCCGTCAAAGGTGTAGTTTGAAGCTGAGAAAGCAATCTGGAATCGACCAAGACGAAGATGAACTAGAGGAGGAGCACCCACTCTCCCATTAATTTGCGCTAGCACTTTATCTACAAGAATACATACATATTTACTCTCACTATTTATAAAGCAATCAATAAACTAACCGGACTTGCTCTAAGCATCACAGCTAGGAACTGTTTTATTTGTGTTTTCTGTGTTATTGATTGCAGCACCAAGTAGCCCCTGAACTGAGTTGATATGTCAAAAATGTCCAAATTAGGAATAGCTTCTAAAATGCTGTTGCTATGGTTACTATTTATCGTATTCCTCAATTAAGTGTAAGAAAGAAGCGCAGAGAAACACTAAGCACTCAAAGCAGACGATTGTGTACATTTGTTTTGCCATGGAATTTGTTTGTCTGAAAATAATAGTGCTTATTTGATAACCTTCTTTAGTGATTGTGAATTAATTACATCGGTACCATCGAGTAAATCTATCTGATAGTTACCATTACGTAACATCAATCGCAGTCAGAGAAGTTTTTAATGTTTCAAGCTTTTGTAAATTATGGGTCTAAAGCATCAAAGTAAAAACCTCTCTACAATACTGAATAAAAACCTTTAGACAGGCTTTTGCTGAATTATTAACGACTTAGATGTCGCGGTTGGCCTTTGCTTAGATGAATGCGTTTCAGGATAATTTTATTTCTTGGTGAAACACAGTGCAAGTAGCCAGACTGATATTTCGCCTTTGATTTTTTTTTTTAAAAAAATACTGCTAACAGTGGTCGTAAGATTCTTGACTACCTCCGGTTTCTTGGCAAAATCGAAGGTATATTTGCTATGAAAACAATTTCCACGCTTATAAGCGTGGAAATTGTTTATTTAAGGAATGTTGGCACACTTTTTCATGTCATTGCTCGAGCAACTGAACGCGTTTTTTGAATAGTTTGGTTCGCAAATCAAGCAGATTCAACTGGTAAATAAAGATGTTGCAATTCCTTTTGATTACATAAAAGAATGATTTGGGAGGCTCGATTTTAATTGAAAACTTTGTTGTTCAGCTTACATGATGTGACCAAATACGATTTTGAAAATAAACAAGCAACTCAGTTTTACATGAAACAAACATGCAACTCATTATTTACCAATTTAAAGTATAGAAATAAAATTTATTAATGATTTTGAATCACAAAGAATGAGGAATAGGATTCACGATTGAAGTGAAAGACTATAAATGAATAAGAATAATATAAAAAGTACATATTAAAAGGGGAAATCTGCAAACAATAATACAATCTAGATTCTTTTTTTTTGTTGTGATTTTTTTTTGGGAGTGTTTCTTCTTTCAAAAGGAGATTGCAGAGGATACAACTTGTATTATGTGTTTGTTGTTGGATAAAGTAAATAGTAGTAAGATTGTGTCGATGAAACTGACGCTTCGTTTACATGCAGAAGCACTTGGACTCCTTCTTTTCTTCCTTCTTGGGAGTAGTGGTCTTAGGAGCAGCAGGCTTAGTAGCAGCAGGCTTCTTTTCTTCCACAACAGGCTTTTCCTCAACTTTAGGTTTAGGCTCAGACTTGGGTTCTTCCTTTACGGGAACTGGTTCGACTTCTTTGATGGAAGGCTCTTCGGTAGGAGCTGAAGTAGCAGCATTAGCTTCAGGAGTGGTAGGGTTAGCATCAGCAGCAGGAGCGTCACTAGCAGGAACAACAGCAGCTCTATTGGCTTCAGTAGCAGCAACAGCAGCAGTGGTGGCAGCGGCAGGAGCAGCTTCTTCAATCACATCATCGTTTTGTTTGTTCTCAACCTCTTGAACACCTTCAATCTGCTTATCATCAGTCAAGTCCAAACCACGGTGGAAGGTATTCAAGAGCTTAGCAAAATTCTCACCCTGAGTGCGAGCAATCTCGAGCTCCTTGATTGTGGGCTCGCGAGATCCATCACCATTAGCTATAATAGATGGCGGTATCAGTAAACAAATCAATCGATTCGGCTACGTGTACCAACTTACCAACAGTACCGGCACCGTAAGGAGAGCCGCCGACAACCTCGGTGTTATCAAAGAGATTGCTGTTGGCAAAACCCAAAGGAACGTAATTGAGGCCATGATGAGCAAAGTAAGTCAACAATGTGTAGGCAGTGGTCTCTTGACCACCATGTTGAGAGGCAGTAGAAAAGAAGGTACCAACAAACTTTCCAGATAAGGCACCAGTAGCCCAAAGAGCACCAGTGGCATCCAAGAAGGACTTCATTTGAGCAGGGAAAGTACCGAAGCGAGTGGGCACACCTATTCAATTCGAGTCAATATCGCTTGATCTATATCCAACTTGTCTGACAATGCAGGCGAAAGGGCGCGTGCGCACATTTTGTGTGCACACACACAAATACACACACACACATCACACACGCACGATCGCCCACAAAATGTTTCCAAATATATAAAACTTTACCAAACAAGAATGCATCAGCCTCGGTAAGAGCATCAACAGTAATGACTGGAATATCAGGCTTGGGGGGTGCGTGCAACTTGTCAAGGATTTCGTCAGATAGAGTTTCTGGCACCTAAAACAATCGATTAGGCAAATGCACGCTTGTATTTGGATTTCAAAATCTTACCTGGAAGAGCTTGACAGTGACACCTTCGGATTCAAGACCCTTTTGAACGTCCTTGGCTACCTTATAGATATGATGATAGAGAGAGTAAATGATGATGTAGACAGTAGGCATGTTTGATTTAATTTATTTTTCACAGAAAAAGAAGAGAAAGAAAGAAGAAAAAGAGAGAGAGAATGGTACGTGGAAAACGATGTTGATATCTGGATTTTTTTCATGTTTCTATTTTAAAGCACAGAGATCCCCGTTAGAGTTCATAATAACGATGGTTGAACAATGACCACCTATCTGATTGGATGGTAACATGAGAAGCACGCACACAGACAGACACATTACAAATTATCTTGATAATCATTTGAATAGCATAGCGCCTGTTGACTGGAAAAAAAATGACTAGAAATCCAAGAAATCGCATTGGGAAGAACTTGCGAACAATTAGGAAGAGAACGGTGACTCCAAAAGCAGAGCCCGTTCATAAATAATGCACTTGAATTTCTCTTTATTGTATCTAAAGTATACGCGTTTGAAATATAGCAGTTTCTCGATGCTGCTGTAAAAGCATGCTTACTATCCAACTATAGATATGTGTTGTAAGCAATGACTAAAACTTAATAATTCGAAGCAGTCGCATTATTAATGTACAAAGCGGGAATGGATTTCAAAGCATGACAAAACCATCGCTAATCAAAACAATTCCAATCTCCCTGAGCTCCTCCCTCGGCCGTGTGTGTTCATGATAGCGATCCATACTTCCCCGCTGCCTGCAACATTTTTTTTCCTATAAATATCGCAACACGACTTCTCATCCAATGCTTTTTTCTTCTTATTTCTATTCACAAATTCTCAATTAACAAATATGGCTGCCAAGGTTTACATTATCATCTACTCTCTCTACCATCACATCTACACTCTTGCTCAAGAAGTCCAAAAGGGTCTTGTTGCCTCTGGTGTTGACGCCAAAATCTTCCAAGTTCCCGAGACTCTCTCTGATGAGATCTTGACCAAGATGCATGCTCCCGCTAAGCCTGATGTTCCTGTCATCACTGTCCAAGATTTGACTGAAGCCGATGGTTTCTTGTTCGGCATCCCTACTCGTTTCGGTACCATGCCCGCTCAAATCAAGGCTTTCTTGGATTCCACTGGTGGTCTTTGGGCCTCCGGTGCTCTCGCTGGTAAGTTCGCTGGTACTTTCTTCTCCACTGCCTCTCAACACGGCGGTCAAGAGACCACTGCTTTCACCACCATCACCTACTTTGCTCACCACGGTATGGTTTATGTTCCTCTCGGTTTCAGCTCTCCTCATCTTTTTGATAACTCTGAGGTTGTTGGTGGTTCCGCTTATGGTGCTGGTACTGTTGCTAACGGTGATGGTAGCCGTCAAGTCACCCAAAAGGAACTTGAGATTGCCCACACTCAAGGTGAGAACTTTGGTAAGATCATTACCACCTACGTCAAGGGAAAGACCGCTTAAGTCACAACACATTCATCTTATATCAATAATTACTCCATGGATCGAACACTTTAATAAACAATCATCATGTACCATATAAATATAGTGAGATGCTTTCGGGATTGGGTCAAATAGGTTGGGTTTTACATTAAAATGGGATTTGGGCTGTGATTTGGAAAAAGAGAAAAGTGCGTTGAGTTACATTTCGATGCATTAGTGAACCCTAGCCAATATTGCATAAGGATGATTATCATTTTCTGTTGTAGATATCGTTCTTTTGCTTTCTCATGACGAGATGTCGCATCGGCATTTGCAACAGTGTTTAAACTAGTGCCTATAATTAAGCATACTTCAAATATGAGGCGTTTTCATGGGAGATCCTCTAAGGCTAAATAGAATTGGAATACACGCCGCAAAATATAAATAGAAACATGGCGTACTCTCTGTTTATTCGCAAGATGGGTATGATCCGATTGTTGTCAAGTTACTAAACTTGTATTTGATATGAATTTTGCAAGATCTCCCTCTTTGTATATGAGCTACCGAAACACAACTCGGTCACCAGCGCCTGCAAAATCATAGACATCTTGTAGACGGCTGCGACTTCTCGAGGATATCATACCATGTAAGTAAAAGGAGATTCCGTTATTTGATACATCTTAGTACTATTATCCTTCACAACTATTAAATCATGACAGCGTTAATTGGGATGGCATTCTCACCTCCTTGCTTTTCGGACAGTCTGTGCTAGTGAAAGATATTAATCTGCAAATTGAATTGCTTTAAAAATGGGTTCCATTGTCTGACAAATGCACCTAGACATTGATTATTTAGTGAAATGTGATTCTGTTACATTTTTCAAAAAAAAAAACTCATGAAGAAGCTGGCCATTCTATCCAAGCATTGGTATCGCCTCTGTTCATAAAAGAAAGTGTTCTCGAGTGTATACAAGTATTCAAAACCGGGATCAGCCTGCGAGTATCCCATCTGAGATGGAGTATCTCTTGCACCGATTATGATTGGTTAATTTCCTGAATACTTTTCATGCATCTTAGTTAAATATGTTATGTGATGTGTAGACTATCTATGATCTAATTCATGAATGAGAATTTTTATTAGATGCTCATTATATGTACCAACTCGTATTTTAATATCTATAGTCAATATAACACAATGAATAGATTTTGCATGTCATTCATGATAATCTGCCGACAGCCAGCAGGTATATAAAGACGACTATTTATCTAAAGTATAGACAATATAAAATACAATACACAAGACAATGAGCATTTTCAAGATAATTACATTTTGTGCAATTATATGCTGCTTTGCAATGGAGTTACATGCTTACTGCGTTTACAACAATGTCAGAAACCCTGATGACAAGCATAAGACGACGTATTGGTTAAGACAGCAGCCATACAATGCAGGGCCCAACTACTTTTCGTATGTAATAGAGGTATTAAGGATAAAATAAATGACAAAACTAACTATCATTTACCTAGTCGTTTTTCTCAAGGAGCTTTGGGATCTGGAGAAAAGGCATGCTGTCCATACACTAACTCTGACTGTGTCAGATCAACAAATAAAGATGATGAGTTGTATATGGTGGTAAGTGTTTGATATTAGCTGCTTTCATGGTGCCTAATTCTTAATATATAGGCCAGACGAACCACTGGTTCTCAAGAATATCCTCCTGTTGTTATAAGTCTGCCAGCTGGAGGGTGGATCGAATTTGGTGGAGACGCCGGCCCTGAAACACAAACACTGCATGTCTTTAATCCCGATGGATCTCCATACGATTACAAATACCGTACAGATCCTCAAGCAGGATACACTTAGTAATATGTGGTGTATTCTAAATGAATTGCTAATAATAGCAGCATAATATTAGCATACTTCTTTAAACAAACTCTGGGTTGTATTAGGATTTCTGCAAAACATTTTTTTTAACAATTTCTACCTTAAACTATCATCAAATAAAGCCTTATTAAATCAATAAAAGGGCACCCTAAATAGAAATACAGTTTATACAACGTTGGTTACTCATGTCAGGTACACACAGACTTTGTGTATAACCTTTTGGTTAGTATAAATATCAAATATATTTGCAAAACAATAAAGATCATCTTTCATCTCAATTACATATATCTACATCCAATATCTGTACTCGCGACAGGGAAACGAACAGAAACTATAAACGTCTCACTTTAATACAGTCTCTGCAAAATAAAACGCTCCCGGGTGGGCTTGAACCACCAACCTCCTGATTAACAGTCAGACGCGCTAGCCAATTGCGCCACGGAAGCTTTTTTGAGCTTGTCAGATGCTAATACTTAGAGATAGTATATGCAATCTGAGATCTGATCGAGATATAAATGGAAGTAGATATAGAGAGTGTGCAGGAAGATGTTATAGCCTTTTAGTTGAATGGATAAAAAGGTGCTTTATTAATATTAGATTTGAACATTGATTTTATCCAATATAGTTTGTGTAATGTTGTGCGCTATCCAGGTTAATCGCTGTTTAATGTTCCTGGTAGCTGGCGCTCTAGGTTTAAACCTGCGCTTCTTATTCTTGTTTGTGTTTAGTCTGTCAATGATATCCTGCAGATCTAAATCACTGTCAGAATACCCTTCAACCCTGACAAGCTTGTCGTGCCTAAATTTATATTTAAGCCAGATTTGAAGAAAGCGACTAAAAGGCGCCAGCGTATACTCGAAGGTTCTGGAAACTGACAGCAAGCATTGATCTGATTATCAGTTGCTATATCAAGTACTATATCTACTCGAAAGTTCCATTAAGTAATTATCGATCGTAGAAATAGTATAAATATAAGTTGTAAATGCATTCAATAAACAGCATCTTACAACATATTACTAAGTATTAATTAAACTCTATTTCTTTGTTAACTCTACCTATTGGATCCATCTCACAAGACAACAGAGTTTGCTGAAGCTTATATTTAATAGTTTATATTGCTTTAAAAATTGGCGCACGCACTCACTGCAGCTCTGTGTAGGTTCAGGCCATGCTGGGGAACCCTAAAACGACTCGAAAAATATTGTTCCAAGTAAACTACAAAAAAAAATCTCTCTGTGGAATTTGAGGCTTTATAGACTAAAATTCACGGAAAAAAAAGAATAAAAAAACAGTAAAGTCAACTTGATAAAGGTATGTTTTATTATCAGACTGAGAGGTGTAAAGTAAACTGAAGTCTCACTATTGGCCAGGTAGATGATCCTTCATATATACTATAACAATGGATAAAAGTTCTATTAATTAGATTAACAAATAAGTCAACTCAGATCAACTAATGACTAATCATGCTAAAAGACAACTCCAGCAAGCTAATCATGATTTAGCTCTGCCTGGATGAATAATTAGACTCTCATCCGAAGTACCCTGATCTATCCTTTCTATAAGGATAATTAATATCGATCTAGTAGCATGTATCCGATAGGTACAGTCTCCTTAGTCTAAATCAATAGTACATATCTGAGTGTATATCGCTGAGCATACATCTTTAGCATATATCTGGATATATGGCATGTCTATAGCATATCGTATGCATGTCTATAGCATATCGTATGCATGTCTATAGCATATCGTATGCATGTCTATAACATGTCTCATATATATAGTACAAGTCTGTAGTACATAAAGTATCTGTAGCTAGTATCACGGATACAAGCATGTGTCTTATAGCGTGGATCATGAAGTGCACATCTGAAGCAACAAGCTCATATTGCATTAATCTTGGTGCCTATCCAGATATGGTAAACATCCGTAGTCAATGTCGGAATACAAGTATAAGTCTATAGTGCCATCCATGTCCGTGGCGCCATCTATAGCCTGTATCTTATATAGTATGAATCTTATAGTACTAGCGTATCTGAAGTCCATATCTTCTTATAGTATAAATCGATATCGTACATCATCTAATCCAGCGTACATACAGTTTATATCTAAATCTAGTAACTGGATGAACTGTCGGAATGCAGGTCATAGTGGATGTATTCTACAGTTTTATTCAAATACAACATGTCTTTCCTGAGATATGATCAAAAATGTAATCTTGGAAAATCATCGATTTTTATGCAAAATTTGCCTGTGATAGCAAGGCAAGAATCAAGAGAGCAATTTCTCTCGAGGTACAAAGTTGGCGATACCTCATGATAAAACCATACTAGAGCTTTGAATTAGAGCTCGTTCGATAGGTTCTTGTCTGTTCTACACTATGATAAATATTTCAAGTAAAACTTTGATGACAGAAACCTGGTAATCTGCCAAAAACAATAAAAAAACCGCAATAACTATTTTATGAAAAACCAGCCTAATAAAGTTGGCCAAAATACTTAAAATTGGTATCATTAGATTCTCCTTTAGATTCTAACCAAAGTTTTATTTAGCTGGAAAGCAATGTTGTTATCAGAATCGCATGATATTAAGGATGAACGATTTCAGAAATCCATAAATCCTCATTTTGAGTATTATGGAGGCTGGGCTACTGATAGTTTAAAATACCGCCTTTTTTTTTCTTAGTATGTAGCTCAATTCAAGCGTAAATTCGCTACCCTTGTCAAATATAACCTCTTAATTACATGTAACGGATTAATAGGTAAGGTGTTGGCGAACCTCATGATGAAAATTGCTAATTCATATCTTGCTTTGCTGCCTTGTAGCAAGCTATCAAATTCTAACACTTACCTTGCGGTACATTGATAACAGTGACGTCTTTTAGCCTCAGCCTTTTATTAGCATTTTTTCCTTTTTTTTCGTCTTTATATATATATACTATACTTCGCAAGCCCTCTACTCATGAAACAACGCTACCTTTGTGAATAGAATTGAAGCAAGTATAATTGAAAGCTGCGCAATAGACGTAAGATACAATGTTAACGCGTTTTATACTGTGGTTATACTTGGGATAACTCTACTAGGGATCTATTTCTGATCTTTTGCTGTGCACTGGCTGCACACTTGGCGGTGGCTGCTTTGATGGTATATCGTTGCTTCGGTGGTTCTTCTCTGATGTTTGCTTATCCTGTGGTCTGTTGTCTTTGATGTATGCTGGTTCTCTGGTCTATCTCTGGTCTATCTCTGGTCGTGATGCTGTGGTAAGAAGTGGTAAGTATCTTTTTTTTTCTTGCGGTCGCAATGATATAAACTTCTTTGAACGTTTGTACTACTGCTTCCTTTCCCGCGATAATGCATTCATGCTGTTTGCTTTATTGCCTTTTCTTTCTTTTTTGTTGGCTGTGATATGATCAGCTCAACAAATACTTGCAATGTTGTTGCTTCGTATTTACGAATAGCAAGCATGACACACTGCTATATAATTGTATTGCCCTTCTTGTGGTACTTTGTTATATAACCGTGGATTGTTGTTTGTATTGCCTCTGTCGCTTCACATGAAAACAACATTGGTCTTCATGTTGTATTACACACTTATACTGCTGCTACTGCTGCTCCTGCAATTGTGCGCATTTGTGTTCTTTTACATCATCAGACTGTTATCATGCACATTGCTCATGTATGTATTTTTGTTGCAATAACAAGGATATAATAACGTGAACATTTTTAATGTTTTATTCATAACATACTTTCCTTTGACTCACTTCGTGTGAGCATTCTTTTTTTTTTGCCTACATAATATACTACTATCTATACTCCTATAGTATTATTATGTTCGCTTCTTTTGTTATTATGTTTCTTTTGAAGCATACATCTTTATTACGTTGTGTGGATGTGCCTATCCCTGAAGCTCAACAAGACTTTATCCGAGGCTAGGAGGTAGATAGGCCGCCTCCACTTGGTTATCGCTAGTTACTTTAGTGATGATTGAGAGTCTCAACGCCTGAATCTAAAGCTAGGTGGTGTAAGTAAGGCATGCTCTAGCACCTGAGGGAAGTTTGATGATAGCAGCGGCTATATTGCTATTATAACGGCGCTTAAAATTTTGCCTCACATCAAAACCGGGGGAAACCCTCGCAAATTTTTTTTTAGGTCAGCGGAGTTTTCAAGCAATCTGATTGGCTAAGAGGTTGAAGCAACGAAGGTCTAGAACTAGTTAATATCCTATTGATCTGTCAATTATAATGATTTCATGTTTGTAATAAAAGGGTTGTGGAATACATCCACTATGATCTGCATTCCGACAGTTCATCCAGTTACCAGATTTAGATATAAACTGTATGTACACTGGATTAGATGTGCGATATCGATTTATACTATAAGAAGATATGGACTTCAGATACGCTAGTACTATAAGATTCATACTATATAGGATATAGGCTATAGATGGCACCACGGACATGGATGGCGCTATAGACTTATACTTGTATTCCGACATTGACTACGGATGTTTACCATATCTGGATAGGCACCAAGATTAATGCAATATGAGCTTGTTGCTTCAGATGTGCACTTCATGATCCACGCTATAAGACACATGCTTATATCCGTGATACTAGCTACAGATACTTTATGTACTACAGACTTGTACTATATATGAGACATGCTATAGACATGCATACGATATGCTTTAGACATGCCATATATCCAGATACATGCTAAAGATGTATGCTCAGCGATATACACTCAGATATGTACTATTGATTTAGACTAAGGAGACTGTACCTATCGGATACATGCTACTAGATCGATATTAATTATCCTTATAGAAAGGATAGATCAGGGTACTTCGGATGAGAGTCTAATTATTCATCCAGGCAAAGCTAAGCCATGATTAGCTTGCTGGAGTTGTCTTTTAGCATCATGATTAGTCATTAGTTGATCTGAGTTGACTTATTTGTTAATCTAATTAATAGAACTTTTAT